GATCCGAAGAAGATTGAGGCGGTGCAGAGTTGGCCCAAACCGTTTTTAGCTACTGAGATCCGGAGTTTCCTTGGTTTGATCGGGTATTATCGTCGTTTCGTAGAGGACTTCTCATCTATTGCTGCACCAATGACCAGATTGACCCAGAAGGGCGCTCCTCGCTCGGCGATGACTCTTTATCTATTAAATGAAGCACGGGAGAGCCCGAAGTTGTTGCCACTGATCTCGCCGACCTAGCCGATACATGAGGAGGAATAGAAGTGGAGGGTCGCGCAAACCTGGCCATAGTCACAGCAGGAGCGGACTCCGTTGTAGTGGTCCTCTAGTGAAACCCAGGAGCAGGGGCACTCGGCCTCCTCGAGGATCCTCGGGCTGAAAGCAAAAGAGAAAAGATTAAGAGGTCGATCCCCACAAAACAATAAGGAACATGCAACCAGAAGACACGACAATAAAGATTTAAAACAGGTACTCACCGGTCACAGAAGGTGCATGCCTGAACTTCTTGAGGAAGACCGGCCATTCGCGAATCCCCACTATGTGAGGGAGGACCCGGCTAACGCAATCGTGAATATCCTCGACCAAAGGAGGGGGTTCGACCTCGGCTACACAGAGAGAAGACAATGTCAATACAATTGAAATTAGCGGAACCAACGCGTAATACAATGAGAGAAAAGGGAAGTGTGCTTACGGGCGTAGTTCCAAATCTCGGAGAACCCGCTTGCATTAACCACCACGTCCTCAATTTTGTCGTAGAAGTACTTGAGCCAAAACTAGCGGTTTTCCTTGTCGTCCATTTTCACCACTAGACATTTGCTGCCCCGGTGGCGAAGATGTAGCATCGTCCCCGTGTGAAAGTTAGGAGCGAAGAGGTGCATCAAGTGGCGAATGGTCACCTCGACCCCGGCTAACTCCGCATACTTCGAGATCATGCAGATGAGTTTGTAGATGTAGGGAGAAAGTTGAGCTGGGCAGACCCAGTAATAGTGACCGAACTCCTCGGACAATGGGAGGATAGGGAAAGAATAACCTACATGGAAGGGGTACGCGTAGAAGGCACATTACCCAGGGTGATGTATTTGCACCACATCATGCCCTGCGGGAACTAGGTCTATATGAGCGGGAATTTTGAATTTATCCCTAAACTCAGCGAAGTCCACCTCTTTCATCAACGACTCCGAGATCTCGGGGTCGTCCTCAGGCATCTTCGAGAAGTCAGATCTAGCCTTCTCACTTCGGAAATTATTTCTTCCACCGTAGGGAAGCTATCATCATCAGCAACAATGGCAACCCCATCGTCATGGGGAGGCATGCGCACTGCCAAGGGAACGGGGTCAGGTACCCCCCAGAACTGGAAGTCACATTAACCATCTTTGTTTATAAGTAAAGAAAGTGTAAACACATAAGCGAATTCGAAAGGGCAGGAATTCAGAGTGAAGAAGGAATGAGAAGGTACGAAGATACAATGTTTAGGTTGCAAAGAATGAGGCAAAGGATTTTGTATCCCTATTTATAAGAGTTCATGCATCAATATCGAGAAAGCAAACCATCGTTTCCCAGCTCAAGAATCGAAACGGTAGAGGCACAGTAAACGACACAAGGTATCGGGAAAACGCATAATAATGACGCATGATGGCATGACGTCATTATGAAACAACGTGACCCTAGGTTGCGACTCACGAAAAGCCACGTTTCCACCCCGTCTGAAACACTACTACTTGATCTGCTCGCCAAAACTTCTCAACCATAACAGAGTCCGCTCATCGAGGTCGCCTAGGGTCGACCTCAATAAACGGAGGGACTAACTGTATAGGTCAAAATCTGCCTCGAGGAGATTTAACATGAAGTGGTATTACGAAAAGTAATGTGGCCAAGGTCGACTAGTAAACAGTGGGGCTCATAGCCAGGCAGTCAATAATGGCCGAGGTCAAGTATCAAGAGCAGTAGTAATGGCTAGTTTTGTAATATGATGTTTAGGAGAATTATTCCATTAAATATTCTCTGTACTTGTACTTTTAGGGTTGACTGAGGGTATATACCATATAAATAAAAAAAAGATAAGTGGAAAGGCATGTAATATTGATTTGATAAGAAATACTTTTTGAGAAGAAGACTCTCTCTCTCTAGAAAAGACACAAACATTACCTTTCTAATAAGATTCTTCTTTCCATTATTCCATACTTTTCCATAAGATCCGAGAATAGTTATAATATTCTAGGATTTGTCTGTCACTCATCACTGTAAGAAAGACGAATCATCCACCTCATTCAATATCGGGAGAATCTTTCTTCTTATTTATTTATTGTCATTTATTGAATGATATTCTCCTATCATTACTGAAACTTTTCGAAATAGTAAATGCATACTGCATTTTATCCCCTACCAACATTATCTTTAAATATTTGTGCTAACTAGTTATATATCTAGAGATATTATCATTAACTTGGTTTAATCCTTTGTTACATAAAATTAATTTAACCAAAGACTTACTTTTTTTTTTTTGGTCAAACAATATTAGTACGCCTTAGCAGTAGATACATTAAGGCCTCATTTGTTTGCACTTAATGGAGGTCTGAATCTTAATCATTCAGATCTCAGATATTAAGTGCGTTTGTTTTTAAAGTCTGAATCTTAATTATTCAGATCTTAAGCGTTAAGTGTGTTTTTTTTACTTCACAACAACTTAAGGGTCTGAATAGGTCTGTATCATTAAGATCTATAACAGAGACTTAATATCATTAAGATGCTATCATCCATATTCATTATTAACTGCTGTCACCGCCTACCATTATCAACTACCACCATGCCACCCACCACCACCGTACTCAACCATCACCACTACCATTATCCTCAATCATAGCCGCCACCATTGCCGACTACCACCACCCACCATCCCCACCACCCCCACCACCATCATTCTCAACGACAACCAACACTCATCCACCTCAACTACGACAACTAACACCCCATCACCATCAACAACCATAGCTGGCACTGCCTATTATTCTAAACTACCACCACCCACCACAATCTTCCTCAATCACAACTACTACCACCACCACCACCACCACTCGCCATTATTAACTATCACCACCCATCACCACCATCCTCAATCATTAGAGCTACCACTACCAATCACCACTAGCTACTACCGTAAACTACCACCATCAACCAAATCTACCGCCAACCACCGCTTTTACTCTGCATTCACAAGCACTACTGTTAGCCATCACCACCAGCAACTATCATATTTTAAAAAGCTATATATTTTAGTGATGAAATATTAGATTAATTAGTATTTTATAATTATTAATTTCCAAATAAACGTTAATTTTATATATTCAGATGTTAAAAATCAAACAGTCTTAATCAGTTAGTATTCAGATCTTAATACACATCTTAACATTGAGATGCGTATTCAGATTCAGATGTCTTAATCTTAATACACATCTTGATATTCAGACATGTATTCGGATTCAGACGTCTTAATCTTAAAAAAACAAATGAGACCTAAATAGGTCATAAAATTTAATGTACTTTAATTATATTGGGTGACATTGTACAAATTTTAGATTTAATTTTTTCACAAGTCAGAGTTGTTAAATGAGTTCAAATTATTGAAGTTTGTAAAACTAATAGGACTAACAAAAATATTACTATATCATAGCACAATATTTTAAAATGAAAGACTGCCATTAAAGAAAACAGGAATAACAGTTTTTCTGAAATTCAAGTCGATAAGGATTATTATCCTTGAAACTTGGAACTTTTGGATTTCTATGTGGGATCCTTTCAATGGAGGAACGTGACCGTATATATTTTCAAATTAGTCTTAAATATTTTCCTATTTGTATATATCTAATAAGATTAAATTTGAAACTCAAACTTCAAAGTATATAATCATTTTATTTCTTATTAATCTTAACTATTTTCCCATTTGAATATAGTATCTACAAAATTAAATTTGAGGTTCAAATTTACACTGTGTTTGGTATGGAGAAAAATACTTTACAAATTATGGTTTTCAATTTCTTATGTTTAGTTAGCTTAAATATTTAAAATAATAATTTTCTTATAAATTTATTTTTCTCAAATTTCAAGAAAATAACTTCACTATCAAAAAAATTAGAAAAATATTTTTCGAAACTCTCGTTTCCACCTCGGTCTCTCGACCCTTCCCCTCCCGCTCCTTACCCCACCCACCTTAGCACCGATGCACCCCCTCCCACCCGTCCCAATCAACTATGGCCGGCCCAACTCGAACCACTGCCCCCCTTCGCTACTGCCACCCCTGCCCTCGCCCTCTCCATTGAAACCCCCAACACCCCTTGCCAACTCATCCCTGCCCACCCATCCCCTCCACCCTCCCTTCCTCCCTTCCCCCTAATGTATGTCCTAGATTATATATAAATGCTCTTTAGGACAATATTTTATAAGTGTTAACCAAACACACAAAAAAAATTACTTAGTATATTTCAGAAAATATTTTCCACAAAAAATATTTTCTTTCTTACCAAACACACCAGTAAAATATTTTTTTTCTTTTTTATTAATCTTATATATTTTTTAATTTTGGATATATCTAATAAGATTAAATTTGAAACTCAAACTTTAAGTATAAATAATTTTATTTCTTATTAATCTTAAATATTTTTCCTATTTTGATATGTAATAAGATTAAGTTAGAACAAACTTAAAGTATAATATTATTTTCTTTCTCATTGATCTTAAACATATTCCTATCGGGATACAGTATCTAATAAAATTAGATTTGAACTCAAACTTAAAGTAAGAAAACTATTTTCTTTCTTATTAATGTTAAATATTTTCCTATATGGATATACCTAATAAGATTAAATTTGAAAGTCAAACTTAAAGTATTAAAATAATTTGTTTCTTATTAATCTTAAATATTTTTCATATTTGGATATATCAAAATACATTCAATGAAAGCTGAAAATCAACCTTTAAAATACACAACAAGTCACTATTTAAGAGACCAAAATGGCAATTCAGTCAGCTTTTTTTTCTCTTTCATTCAGAGAGTAGTACTCCTTCATAGTTGTCCATGTTTGCATTCCCAATAAGTCACAGCAGTAGCTGTTACCCAAGAGACTATGAAAAAAGGGAAAATGAAAATTGAAAAAAAGAAAAGAAAAAGTAGAGTGAGTGGAAAAAAGGAAGAAACTTTCGCTTTTACCAAACGGCACAAAGAAAAGTGAAAGACTCAAATCTCAATTTTGTCAGCTTCAGTTTCTAAATTTAAGTTAAACAGTTAGTGGGTTGGTTCTTGATTTTTTTGATTTGGTGTAATTTTCATATCTGCTTATCTGTTACATTCTTGAACAAGGTCAGTGGGTTTTTTGTTTGTATCCTACTGGAGATCTTATGTAATCTTTTGTGGGTCTTTTTTGGTTTTGTATGCTCTACTGAATCTGACTTTTCTTTTAGTGGGAAAAAAGGTGAAAGGAATTTAAGGTTTATTTGTTATCATATCTTGATCTTAAAGAACAGATTTTTATGCTTCTTATTGTAAAAAAGATGAACCTTTTGTGGGTGTAGATGCACCTCTTTTAGGTTACATCTACAAATTAGTTCTTCTGTGTTTATCTTTTAAAACTGTGATTTTGATCTCAACAAGTACAGAGTTGTAATTTTTACTCTACATCTTAGTCTTGTGATTCTGATTTCTGAAGTGGTTAGTTTAGTTTATTGGGAAGAACCCTTTTGGCTACTGTGGAGATCTGGGACTTATTTAATCTGTTATGTCCCATGAGAACTTTCTTCCCTTCAGAATCTTGTAAAGAAACACACCTCAAATCTATTAATCCTCAGTCATGGCTCCAAGTTGAAAGAGGCAAGCTTTCCAAATTTTCATCTGAATCTGCTTCTTCCATGTAAGTATAAAAGCTGCCATTTTGTTGTAATTTCCTTTTTCTTTTATTCTAAGCAGATACTACTATAATTGTTGTAATCATGTTATTGAACCTTGGAAAACTTATCTTGTGGTGCTTGTAGAGAGACCCTGATCAAGGTCCCTGAACCGCCAATTCTTCCGTTTTTTAAACCTGTTGATTATGTAGAAGTTTTAGCAAAAATCCATGAACAACTCGAATCATGTTCCCCACAAGAGAGGTCGAATCTGTATTTGCTCCAGTTTCAGGTATTTAAGGGTTTGGGGGAAGTTAAATTAATGAGGAGAAGCCTTCGTTCAGCTTGGTCGAAAGCAAGCACAGTATATGAAAAACTTGTATTTGGGGCGTGGTTGAAATACGAGAAGCAAGATGAAGAGGACATTTCTGACTTGCTTTCTACTTGTGGTAAATGTGCAAAGGAGTTTGGGGCAATAGACATAGCATTCGAAATGCCTGCTTATAAGATATTAAGCTCTCCAGGAGTTGTTACAACAAATGAGGATCCTTGTCCAAGAACTGTTTCATTTAGGATTGGTGATGAGAAAATAGCGTGCAATAGGCAGAAAATTGCCGGTCTTTCAGCTCCATTTCATGCCATGCTCAATGGTTGTTTTACAGAATCGTTATGCGAGGAAATAGATTTGTCTGAAAATGATATTTCACCATTGGCGATGAGGGTGATCAGTGAATTCAGCTCAACCGGTTTATTGGATGAAATATCTGCCGATCTTCTGTTGGAAATATTGGTGTTTGCCAATAAGTTTTGTTGTGAAAGCCTCAAGGATGCTTGTGACCGAAAGCTTGCGTCTTTAGTTTGCTGTCGACAAGATGCTTTAGATCTCCTGGAATGTGCCCTTGAAGAGAATTCCCCTGTCCTTGCTGCATCATGTTTGCAAGTATTTCTACGCGAACTCCCAGATTCTCTGAAAGACAGTCAGGTAGTTGAACTGTTAAGCAACACTACCAAGCAACAACGATCGATTATGATAGGTCCTGCCTCATTTTCACTCTATTGTTTGTTAAGTGAAGTTTCGATGAACCTTGACCCTAGAGCAGATGAATCTGTTCGGTTTTCGGAAACACTGGTAGACTCGGCTGAAACCAGCCAACAGAAAATGGTCGCATATCATCGGTTGGGATGCATTAAGTTTCTTAGAAAAGAACTTGATGAAGCTGAGCAGCTCTTTGAGGCTGCTTTTAACTTGGGTCACACTTATTCCGTAGTTGGTTTGGCTAGATTAGGTCAAATAAGGGGTCATAAACGCTGGGCATATGAGAAACTCAGCTCTGTTATTTCTTCCTCAACTCCACTTGGATGGATGTACCAGGAGAGCTCGCTATATTGTGATGGCGAGAAAAGGTTGGATGACCTTGAGAAAGCAACTGAGCTTGATCCCACACTGACGTATCCGTACATGTATCGAGCTGCATCTTTGATGAGGAAACAAAATGTTCAAGCTGCTCTTTCAGAAATAAACAGAATCCTGGGATTCAAGCTGGCATTGGAGTGCTTGGAACTCCGCTTTTGTTTCTACCTTGCTCTAGAGGACTACCGATTAGCAATATGTGATATACAGGCAATCCTCACACTTTGCCCAGATTATCGTGTGTTTGAAGGACGAGTTGCAGCATCGCAATTACGTACTCTTCTGCGTGAGCATGTGGAGAGTTGGACAGAAGCTGATTGTTGGCTGCAGCTGTATGATAGATGGTCTTCAGTTGACGATATTGGATCTCTTTCAGTAATATACCAGATGCTCGAGTCTGATGCAGCAAAAGGTGTTCTGTACTTCAGACAGTCTCTGCTTCTCCTCCGGTAATTCCTTTTTTTGACTTGTAAAATGCTTCACATTTTCTAGTAAGACTATTGGTTGTAGTGGCTGCTCACCAGAATCTTTTCAGATTGGAAAAATTGTTCTTCACTTCTTCTTAAGAAACTCATATTTCGACCTCTGATGGTTTTCTGATATATTTGTGAAAACCTACAATTTCTTGGAACCCATATGGACTTTGCTAAAAACAGAAAACATTGGGAGCACGGAATCTATATAGGTGATATTAGCTAGTTAGGATTAAGGCTTATTTCTCTTCACACTCACATTATGTCCGGTGTTTGCTAGGACTCTTTTTGATTTGCTTAGAGATTTGTATATCCGTGTTCGGATAAGTGTGAGATCTAGATAATAGTTTTAGAGAGCCTTTAATTTGTCTTCAAACACAAATTATTGAGAATGTAATGGGCCCAAAAAGAGTAGAATGTGTATAAAAGATTCATATATCCGACCCAACTAGTTTGTGATTGAAGCATAATTGATTGATAGATTGATTGAGGCTGCAGACTCTGCAAGATCTAGTTCTTGTAAATTACTGATTCCAAAAGCCTCTTCAACTCTTTACAGAATTTGTCTCGCCTCTATAAGGTCGGTTGCAAACTCTAGTATCTTTATAATGACATTCATTCATTTGGTTTAACCTTGTATTCCTAAGACCGTGGCTCATGCTTTTTTCCAGTAAAACAAAAGAACTTGAAGGCCTTACTTAATCTTCTTAAGATGAATAAGTTAGGAAGATGAAGGTCTTGCCTAATAGTTTTTACCTTGCAATAGAATTTTCCTTCACCTGTGAGATATTCTGGAGCTCGTCTCGGTGTCTTGCTTTGAGGGAGGACTGACTCTACTTTAATCTCTTATTAGAGGACTATCTATTAGCCTATAATCAACCACCCATCAAGCAGAAACAGAGAACTGAATGTCGTTTCACACTCTTTCATGCTTTATCAGATTAAATTGTCCAGATGCAGCGATGAGGAGTTTACATTTGGCTCGCCAGCATGCATCTAGTGAACATGAACGTTTGGTCTATGAGGGATGGATCTTATATGATACTGGCCACTGTGAAGAAGGTCTACAGAAAGCTGAAGAATCTATTAGCATCAAGAGATCTTTTGAAGCATACTTTCTGAAAGCCTATGCTTTAGCTGACTCTAGCCCTGATGCATCTTGTTCATCAACTGTCATATCACTTCTTGAGGAAGCTTTGAGGTGCCCTTCGGATAGGCTTCGCAAGGGTCAGGTATGAGACTCTCAATCCAGAATCTCTCTATCATTCATAAATGAACTTCTAGGTTGCCTTGAGCATTTAGATGAGGGTGGTATTGCACTTTTGAAACGGTATTAGAGCAGCGAAATCATGGTCCAAGGTTCATTTCACCATGCCTTCAAATATTACTCGCATGCTTAGCAAAGGTGATAATTGCGTTTGAGCTCACACTAGAATTTCAAATCTGATCCAAATGTATTGGTGAGTTCCCTTTGTTTTATGGTTATTCGGGTGTTGACAAGAAAATGGGAGTCTAATGCATCCGTAATTTAGACACTGGCATATGCTGATGTGAGAAATCCTGTTAAGTTGCTATCTGTATCTTTTTAGCAGTTGTTCTGCTACTAAAATTGTGCATTTCATTAATGACATGTTTTACTTGAATGAACTTGGGTAGGCCCTGAACAATCTTGGCAGTGTGTACGTCGACTGCGGTAAATTGGATGCTGCAGCTGATTGCTACATTAATGCCCTTAAAATTCGGCATACCCGGGCTCACCAAGGTCTTGCTCGTGTCCATTTCTTGAGAAATGATAAGGTGGCTGCTTATGACGAGATGACTAAACTGATTGAGAAGGCAAAAAATAATGCATCTGCCTATGAGAAGAGATCAGAGTACTCTGACCGTGACCGCACAAAGGCAGACCTAGAGATGGTCACTCGTCTGGATCCTCTTAGAGTTTACCCTTACAGATATCGAGCTGCAGGTAAAAGTTCTCTTTTTTTCCACCCTTTCTTTTGTTTTAGTTTTATTCGTCTTGACTTGAAGAACAAAAATGCAAGAATGTTCTACATTCTCTGCACTTGTATATAGAGATCTATATTCAAATTCTACTAATAGTAATTATTTTCGAGTTACTAATTGGAACTCAAATTTTATATTTGATTTTGATTTTACATAATAACATATACAGTCAAACCTCTCTATAACAACCTCGTTTGTTGTGAATATTTTTGGATATTATCGCGAAGTGCTGTTATAGAGAATATATATTATAATATACCATGAAAATTGGTTCCGGAAAAGCTTGGCTTTTATAGTGAAGTGTTGTTATATAGGGATGCTGTTATAGAGAGGTCTGACTGTATAAATAGTAAAACGAGATGCCCCTCTATGAGAAATGTTGACCTTCCCTCTATCTTTCTGTTATTAGTAGGCCTAGTATTTCTGGCATTTGTAATTATGTTACATGCACTAACAATTTAGATATCTAATTATAGCAGGTTAGTCAAAGCTTTCATCAGTTTACCTAATTTTCTGGTAGTAATTATTACCGTACAACTAACCTGATTGTATTTAAGGCAGCTGCCCATAGAACATAAAACTCTTTTGATTAACGGTTGTTAATTGGTGATAGTGCTGATGGACAATCACAAGGAGAATGAAGCAATTGCAGAACTGTCAAGGGCCATTGCATTTAAAGCCGATCTTCATCTTCTACACCTTCGCGCTGCATTTCATGAGCACATAGGTGATGTTATGGGTGCCTTGAGAGATTGTCGAGCAGCTCTCTCCGTTGACCCGAACCATCAAGAAATGCTGGAACTTCATAGTCGTGTGAACAGCCAAGAGCCTTGAAGAAAATGAGGCAAATGACAATAGGAGGGGAGGGAGTGTGAAACTGAAAAGCTTTTCCTTTTTCCCCTTTTTCACCTTCCCCCAAAATTTTCCTCCATTGTATATCATACTGAGCCTCCTCTCCATGTTTATCCTAATTCCAAAAATTTTGTAATATGCTCCCAAATTCTTTGTTAATATAATTTATATTAAACGAAGATCTTTACTCCCCCCCCCCCTCCTCACCCCCCCCCCCTCCTCTCTCACCCACGCAAAATCTACCGAATCAATTTAAGTTTTTATACATAATTCACACGCTTCTATGTTTAAAGTGTATATCAACCATGGTTTTAAATAGAATTTCTGCAAAACTTCAGCACTTCTGGAAAAGTATTTCTCCCAATTGTTCTGGATTCATTTTTTGAAGTAATAGCATTTCGATTCTAATTTTGTTCTCCTGCTTAAAAAGAATATCCTCGTAAGTTGTATATGAGGTAGTTTGACTTGTCAACGAGTTTAAGATAAAAAAAGCTTTTAAAATTTGTGGTCTTAAAAGCCTAAGGGTAAAAACTTTATGGCTATTAAAGCTTCATATTAATGGTAAGACGGAATGTTTAAAAATGAATTGAATCCAAATATAGAAATGTGCTTTTTCAAAATGGACCAATAAAGAAAATGTATGTAAAGAATAAAGCGGATGGAGTATTTTTTCTAATGAAATCAGAAATGATATACTTTGTTGATTTTGAAGCACAGATAAGCAATAAGTATATTAATGAATGACTAATAAGTTTGATTCTAATTATTCAAAGCAGGAATGGGCTTCTTTGAAAGACTATTCAAATTCCAATAGTCGGATTCTGTGAGGCTTGAAATGAAGTGATTAGATTGAATTATAGATACAAAATAGAAGCAATTACAGTGTAATACATTTAGGGGGCAAACAGTATCTGATTTAGCCCATAATTAATTTTCTTACCCGCTTTAGCCCCCACCATCACATCAAGCCCTATGGTTGATGCGTCCTTTTGGATCACCGGCAACGCTTTCTGCTCTTGCTCAAACAGCTGGCCAGAGTTTAATTCAATATGTCATCGAGAATCCAACATCTCTTTTGTTTCTTTGCGGCATCGATATATAGGACTAGTATTCAAGGAAAATAGCTGTTAATCACATCTTAAATATAGTTTATGAGCTTAATAAATAAACTTTGTTATTGTTACAATTTTTGGCAAATTGATGATTAGGATTCACTGTAGATGTCATTTTGAAGTTGTGATTAAAATTTGAAGCTATTTCGTAAAGACTTGAGTTAATTAATGATGTTTTCGTGAGTTGAAGTTTGAAGGAGACGAAACTGATCAGTTTTTGTATAATTTTATATAATTATGTCCCGAAGTAAAAGTATATATAAACACCTCTTATACATAATTATGCACTTTTATACCAGGTTGATACATTATTTAAAGTGTATAATATTGTATAATGCCATATAATTGATGTATACACCGTTGGAAAAAAATATTAGTTATGCGGGTGAAAACCAAACAACATGGTTACATAGATGCAATGTTGTATTGAGCGTACATTTGTGCAATAGTCTTTATAAAATATCATGTATTTATTGAATTCATTGATTAAAAAAGTTACATCAAAACAAAAGTAAATTTGTTCGTAGCAGAACCTTTGTTTTTTTTAAAAATTTACTATACTGGCTAACTGATCATAATGATATGCTGCGATTCTCCAACCTTTTTTTTTTCAACGGACCTTATATCCTACTTCTTAATAAGTCCTACTTCTGGCTCCTCTCGGTCAACATGTGTGCTTACCTAGAATTAATAGTTAATTTGAGGGTATTTTTGTAAGTTCATGTTAATCCGTAAAGCTGACTCTGTATTGCTGGCCCTACACGTGGTATTCTTTGTGAATTGTAAAACTGAATACATTTTGATAAGGTAAAACTGAATACATATCGTCTCTTCTGTATTCTTTCTGTGACTTTTTGGCCTCTCAAGGTCTTCCTCTTCTTTCTTTGTGTCTATCGATATTCATTTTTGCTAAAGGTATGTCTTTCCCAATTTTTTGATTTTACTAGCTAATAGTGACACATATTGTTTATTGTTAATTATTGTATATGGCAGATTAACCATAGGATTAATTTTACTTTTAAGTTAATACTGAGATTTTAAATTCAATTTACTTTTGAAAATTTTGATTTTATGTTTAAATTATTCATGGATTTTGAGCGCCTTTGTTCTCTCTATACTCCACCACTATGACCGGATATCTTTACTGCAAATATCTTATCTATCTCTGTAAGCTAATTAATTTCCTTACTTTTTCTTTAGTATGTCTTGTATAACAAAATTTTTTTGGCTATTGAAGGTTTAGTCAGAAAAAAAAATTGTTGCTGTCATAATTTGCCTTAATAGCTTTCTGGGTTAGTTTGTTCGTATTCCATTTTTCCCTTTTTTTCTTTTGCTGTGTTTGATTTTTGTTATTAAACAGTTGATTTAAGTCTTATGCTATGAAGAAATAGTTGATTTAGGATTAAGTTGAAGGGCAGACTATACACATCAGCAAAGCAATTGTTAACAAATAACTTGTGAGAAGACAAGTTAGTAAAGTCATTGAAAAAATAATTGACTTTTAGAATAAAAAAGACTGCATAAGGTTTTTGAAACATAACCCTTCTAGGATATTAAGCAAATACGTGTTTAACCAAAAAATAGAATTTCGGTTAAAACTAGAAATTAAGAGAAAAAATCGGGTTACTGATAATCAGGAGACGAAAAGAATAAGAAATTTTTGAGAATAATAAAGCAGTAAATAAGTTTGTATTTCAATGTAATCTCAATGATTTTTCGTGTCCTTACAAATGCTGAGACCTCCTCCTTTTATAATTGATTTTTCTAGGAAAAGGTATAATGCCTTAGCCTTAAAGAGGCAATTATGAGCATTAAATGACATTAAATGAAACGTTACACAATCATTCCTATTCAATACTGATTCGCTAACGTATTTGACAGTTAATACTGAATTTAGACTCCTTTATGCCATCAGATTCATATCTTCAATTCCTTCTGACCTCCTGGCTTTAATTAAGTTAAACAGATACGAGACTCGTATCATTTGAATAGCATCTCGTGCCTATTTAACTTTCTTCTCCTCGTATCTGATATCGCCCGTGCCTCTTAACTGATCATCATGTTTTGACCATTTGACCAGTCCACGTGTCATGCCACGTCACCTTCAATATAAATTCAGTTTTTTACCAATACAGATAGTCCCCCCACTTTCCATTTATTTATCAATTAAATATTTGGGAAGTGGATCTTCATAAAAAGGAAATTTTTGCCATCATCAATGCTATGACAGTACTAACGCTTCAGTTGTCTTTTCTATTTAATGCATTGCATACGTGTCACCCTCTCATTAGCTTTGCAATTTCTGCAGCCTTTTTTCAAGGCTTCTTCAACTCCACTATTCACGAAGTGTTAGTTGCCTTTATTATAGGCTTTCCATCATTACACTTCTTAGTCTTTGACGGTCGCTTTTATATAAACTTAACCCTTCTTCCACAAATTTTTACCACGGTCGCCCATCAGTATAAATTCAATTTTTCCTTTCTCCTTTTACCACATAAAACTTTTTCCTTGAACGCTTGAATTGTGAAAATCTCTGTTTACTTCTTTCTCTTCTTCATCATGTCTTCTTCAAACCCTAACCCTAAGAGAGTTCCTATTTTAGACAATTTTTCCAATGCTCCTGTTAGACATAGAAGAGGTGGGAGACTTCGTAGTTTAGGATCTTCTCGTGGTGGTGGTTCTGGTGGTTCTGCCATGCCTTCTCCTAACCTTGGTTCTTCCTCTAGAACTAGAGGTTCTTATTCTCAAAAATCATCTTCTAAGAGTAGGGAGACCTCTGAAGCGATACAGGAACCCTTGGTAGAAGAAATAGTTCCTAACGATTTATCTTTTCAGCATGATAGACAATCACTTCAGACCCAAATTTCTGGTTTGGATCGTGTTGATACTTACCCTACTATGATTACAGAGATTTTAGCTCCAATAGTTCGCAAAGATTGTCACTGGAGTAATGATTTTTCCATTGTAATCCCTAATCCAAATCAGAGGATTACTTCATATATGATTGGATTCTCTTTTGTTTACACATACCCTTTTACTCTTGGGTTTAAACCAGCTATTGACCCAGTGATTCTCGATTTCTGTCGTTTCTTCAAAGTCTGTCTAGCACAGGTTGGCCCGCTTGTTTGGAGGGCTGTTGCTTGTTTAAGGCATCTGACAAATTTAGCAGGCGTTAATTTCACCTTCTCCCACCTAATTCATCTATACTCCTTTAGACTTTTTCGTAATGGAGTCTTTACCTTAGTGGCTAGGAGTAAGAGAGTTTTGGTAAGCCCAGAAGATGATAAGGATCGTGGCTGGTATGCCCGTTTTGTTGCTGCTCCCACAGTTGGTTTAGTGGGTGAACAAAACGTTCCCTTCCCTGAGAAGTGGAATTTTGCACGTAAGTCTTTCATCTCTCCCGTACCTCTTTCTTTTGAGTTTACAAATTTCTTTAACTTTGTTTCTCTTCTTTTTTTTTTCTTTAGCAACCATGGGAGTTGTGGAGAATATTCCCAATTTTCGTGGTTGGGTAGATAAATTGTTGAAGATTGCTCCTATGGAGGCTAGGTCTTGGAAATTTATTTCCAATCGTCATGGTTGGAAAGTAAAGACTCACGGTATGAGTTTTTGTCTTTCTCGTATGTAAGATATTTCTTTTTATTGCCTTAACTTTCAATTTTCTCTTTGTCAGGTTTCGCCATTCGAGGTGTTACTGCTGAAGCAGTTGCAGCTTCTCGTTTTGGAACCCAGCTTTCTTTAGAAAGTCCTCAGGATATTCTTTTGAAAAGAAAAACCGCAGATGATGATAGCTCCGACGAAGAAGAGGAGGATGGTTCCTTGATGAAAAGGCCAAGAGTTCGGAGACGTATCGTCTCTGATGAAGCTGAAGTTTCACATCATCTTTCTCCAACCGGGCCTGTTAATCTCGTCTCTGACGATGATGTTGCTACCCTTCCTGATACTCATGAGTCGATTAACCAGCTTTTCGTTAGTGGTTTTGAGAGTGGTGAGTTAGGACCCGTTTTGGATGAACCTCCCCTATCTTCTCTTTNCTCTTCTTCATCATGTCTTCTTCAAACCCTAACCCTAAGAGAGT